TAACCTATCAAGACTGAAAGGACTAAGTTAATTATTGGTCAAAAGTGAAGCTTTCAACCAATAAGTCCACTAAAATATGATCAGGCGTGTACTTACAGTAGTGTTGGGTGCTGTGAGTCGAGTGATTTACTGTTTGACCGGAGCCCCACACGTCACCTTTCGGTGGGGGGGGGGAGAAGGAGGGGAAGGGATAGCAGGAGCTTGACTGACCCTACCTTAACAAGCAGCCGGCAATCAAACTATCACTTTCGGGGAGGGGGAAAAAGGAGGGGGGGAATAGTGGGAGTGGGACTTACCCTACCTTAACAAGTAGCCGGCAATGAAACTATTGTCACTATATACTCCCTCGCTACTCCTATCTATTGAACTTTTCCCTCACAGTTACTGATATCACATAATTGACTACAATATCAAAAATATGATTATCCATTACTGACATTACATATAATACTACAATATCACAAACATGACAATCCATTACTGTGATCACATAATTGACTACAATATCACCAATGACACCCGTGTCACAACTATGACCCATGACACCACTGTAACACTCAGTGTCACAAGACACCTTTCTCTCAGTGCCACGACACCCTTCAGAGTTATAACACACCTTCTCTCCTATCTTACACGACACCCTCCCTTGTCTCCGTGTTATAACACACCTCAACTGTATCCACAAGACATCCTTATCTCCATGTAAATCTACAGACTTTCTCTACCGTGTCCACATGACACTGTTGTCTCTGTTATAACACTCCTTCTCGTCTGTGTCCACATGACACCCTTATCTCTGCGTTATAACACTCTGTGTCCACATGACAACTTGCAGTGTCTGACACTAACACCGTTGTGGGGGCCAGCCGACTAAGTCCAGTCGCTGCCATCAGAAAACTGTCCAGTCATAGTCAACAGGAAACTAAGTTACTTGATGCCATCAGGAACGAAGTCCAATCATTTCCAGCAGCAAACGAAGTCCAGTCGCTGCCATCAGCAGTGAAAATTTCGTTATCAGCAGGAGACGCTACCAGCAAAGTCAAGCTGTGAAGCCGTGCTAAACTCACACTATGCATGAGGTCATCACTCAGTGAGCTGTGCAGAACACACACTGTTGTAAGTACACTGAATGAGGCCATCAGATAATTCTGAGGCCGTCAGATTCAGTGAGCTGTGCAGAACACACTCTGCATGAGGACGGTTCACCAGCCTCGACATAAAGTGTGATGACATCACACTGGGTACTGTTGCCTGGCAGCAGCACTGAAGAGGTCAGTCAACCACTTCTCCAATTGTCTCTTTTCTGGGTTCGTAACATGGAAATAAGTCACTGTCTAAATTTTTTGTGTTATCCTAGGTTGTTGATCTTCCTTCCTTCCCTCCTTCCTCTCATCTCTTCCTTTCTTCCTTCCTTCCACTCATCTCTTCCATCCTTCCTCCCTTTCTTCCTTCTTCTTTCCTTCCTTCAGGTTTCCTGGGCATTGCTTTTGGTCACAAACTCCTCAAAGCTATGAAATTTATCTTCACTGACACTTCCATCTTTGTTTGAACTGTCCCTTGGGAACAAAAGAGCCCCAGTTAGCCGAGGAGTGAGGAGCTTCTTAGCGCTAGACATGGTGAATAAGGTGCAATAAAATGGCTTCCCCACAATGCACCACTGGGTCCCCGATTTTTTTTTTGTACTGCGCACACGGACCATGGAGACCCATTCTCTCATATGTAGGACTACTAGCCTTTTCCTGCTAAATTTAAGGACACTAGAATTTATGAGTACTAGTACATCAATAACCCTGATGCGTAAGACATACTAGTATGTCAGAAACCCTGAAAGGGTTAAGAAAAAAAGAAAAAAGATAAGAAAAAAAAGAGGGACAGTGAAGGGACAGTCACTACGAGGCATGGAGGGGCTGAAATCTCCTCCCCTCATCTGAGAGGGCCTCGAGCCCACTGGCAGTGAAGATGCAGCATGGAACCCGTGCCATACCCTACCCTTCACGCAAGTAAACCAGTGCTCCAGGATAGCAGCCTCACATCTACTTAGCTACCTCAGCAGACAAAAGAAAGGATGGTCAAAAACCCACCACAAAGCATACCTCCTTCGGCTGCCACCCCCCAGGCTGCTTCTGGAAATACACCCATCACTCGAAGGGTACCCCACCCATGACCCGGAAACCAGGAAGGGAGTAGGGTACCCTCAGACAATTCAGATTCCATGGCAAACCACACCACCCCCGAGGGACCTCACAGAAGGGGACGAACCCCAGCATGCCACCCCCTACCTAGAAACCACAACGCCAGAGGGAAGGATCCAAGAGGCTACAAATGGGATGGGGAAAAGAGGAGGGTTGGGAGATCGGAGGAAAGGGAAAAAGGGAGGGTATGGGGAGGAAAGGATAGGGAAGGGGGGATTGGGGGTAATTAGGTTCAGTCAGAGGAAGAAAACCAAAAGGTTCAATTGTTCAGACTGATAGCTTCTTTACCATGACAAGAAGCCCACCACTTCCTGGAACCATAAGGAAGTCTCCAGAGATACACTCATCATCCACAGGATATCTAAAACCACCCTCCAGGACTCCAGAGGGTGGATCAGCACATGCCTAGATGATCCAGATTCTACAGCAAACACCATCACCAATGACCTTAATGATATGAGACAGGAAAAACAACAGCCTTTCCCCAATATATTAGCTAGAATTTTGGAGGGGAAGACCCCAAAGGCCAAAAGTAGGAAAGGAAGGAGAGGGAAGGAATGGGAAAATTGGGGGTGAGTGGGGAGTAATTGGGTTCGGTTGGAAGAAGAATGAAGGTCCAATTCCACAAACCAAAATCCTTTTTTGGCACTGCAAGGAGCCCCAACCCCTTCCTCAAAGAGGTAGATGTGTTCAAATACTTGAGAGTGAACTTGCCAGCAGATGGGTCTAAGAAATACGAGGTGAACCATAGAACTGATGATGGGAAAAAGGTGAGTGGTGCATTAAAGTACCTGAGGAGACAAAGATCGTTATCCATGGAAGCATATAAAGTAAATAATAATATAGTGATACCAACTCTCTTATATGGGTGTGAAGCATGAATGGTGACTGTTACAGCAAGGAAGAGGTTTGGAAGAAATGGAGATGTTGAGATGGGTAGAGTCGGGATAAAGGGTCTTGGACTTCCAGCAAGCATGTTAGAGCAATATAACATTTATGAAGAGATTCAGGGAAACTAGTTAGCTGGACTTGAGTCCTGGAGGTGGGATGTACAGTGCCTGCACTCTAAAGGTGGGGTATACCTGGAAAGGTTTCAGGGGTCAATGTGCCCATGGCCCAGTCTATGACCAGGTCTCAGGGTGGATCAGGGCATGGTCAACCAGGCTGTGGGGATACTTTGCAGTTTACAGCTGTAGTAACAGCACTTGTTTGGCAAGATTGTGAAGAAGTGATGACAGAAGAATTTTATTTTTCAAGTCACCTTACCTGGGTGGGAGAGAGCCAGTGTGTTCAATTAATAATGTCACAATATTAATAATAAAGAATATAGAGGTAAACTAAGAAAAAAAAACACTACAATTTACATAATTTTTAATACATTAAAATTCTACATTAAAATAAGTACATAGAGAAATGTATTAAAGTTAGATAAGGTAAGATCACATTAATAACAAACATGGCCGGAAAATGTCAACTTTCTCACCATTAAATAGTACATCACCTTAACATATAAACTGACAATAACATTGTTGGCAAACTTAAAAAAATCCTTCAACAATAAAAAGTATAGGTGGAGAAAGTGATATTTGTAAGCATAAAATTCACCATGTAAATCATCACCTTAACATATAAAGATATGAACAATACTAGTGTCTGCAAGATGCAACTTAAAAACTTCCTGCTACAACAACAGTACCAGTGTCTGCAAGATGCAACTTAAAAACTTCCTGCTACAACAACAGTACTAGTGTCTGCAAGATGCAATTTAAAAACTTCCTGCTACAACAACAGTACCAGTGTCTGCAAGATGCAACTTAAAAACTTCCTGCTACAACAACAATACCAGTGTCTGCAAGATGCAACTTAAAAACTTCCTGCTACAACAACAGTACCACTGTCTGCAAGATGCAACTTAAAAACTTCCTGCTACAACAACAGTACTAGTGTCTGCAAGATGCAATTTAAAAACTTCCTGCTACAACAACAGTACCAGTGTCTGCAAGATGCAACTTAAAAACTTCCTGCTACAACAACAATACCAGTGTCTGCAAGATGCAACTTAAAAACTTCCTGCTACAACAACAGTACCAGTGTCTGCAAGATGCAACTTAAAAACCTCCTGCTACAACAACAGTACCAGTGTCTGCAAGATGCAACTTAAAAACCCTCCTGCTACAACAAACAGTACCAGTGTCTGCAAGATGCAACTTAAAAACTTCCTGCTACAACAACAATACCAGTGTCTGCAAGATGCAACTTAAAAACCTCCTGCTACAACAACAATACCAGTGTCTGCAAGATGCAACTTAAAAACCTCCTGCTACAACAACAATACCAGTGTCTGCAAGATGCAACTTAAAACCTCCTGCTACAACAACAGTACCAGTGTCTGCAAGATGCAACTTAAAACCTCCTGCTACAACAACAGTAACCAGTGTCTGCAAGATGCAACTTAAAAACTTCCTGCTACAACACAATACCAGTGTCTGCAAGATGCAACTTAAAAACCTCCTGCTACAACAACAATACCAGTGTCTGCAAGATGCAACTTAAAAACTTCCTGCTTACAACAACAGTACCAGTGTCTGCAAGATGCAACTTAAAAACTTCCTGCTACAACAACAATACCAGTGTCTGCAAGATGCAACTTAAAAACCTCCTGCTACAACAACAATACCAGTGTCTGCAAGATGCAACTTAAAAACCTCCTGCTACAACAACAATACCAGTGTCTGCAAGATGCAACTTAAAACCTCCTGCTACAACAACAGTAACCAGTGTCTGCAAGATGCAACTTAAAAACCTCCTGCTACAACAACAATACCAGTGTCTGCAAGATGCAACTTAAAACCTCCTGCTACAACAACAATACCAGTGTCTGCAAGATGCAACTTAAAAACCTCCTGCTACAACAACAGTACCAGTGTCTGCAAGATGCAACTTAAAAACCTCCTGCTACAACAACAGTACCAGTGTCTGCAAGATGCAACTTAAAAACTTCCTGCTACAACAACAATACCAGTGTCTGCAAGATGCAACTTAAAAACTTCCTGCTACAACAACAGTACCAGTGTCTGCAAGATGCAACTTAAAAACTTCCTGCTACAACAACAATACCAGTGTCTGCAAGATGCAACTTAAAAACCTCCTGCTACAACAACAATACCAGTGTCTGCAAGATGCAACTTAAAAACCTCCTGCTACAACAACAGTACCAGTGTCTGCAAGATGCAACTTAAAAACTTCCTGCTACAACAATAATACCAGTGTCTGCAAGATGCAACTTAAAAACTTCCTGCTACAACAACAGTACCAGTGTCTGCAAGATGCAACTTAAAAGCTTCCTGCTACAACAAAAATGTGTGGGTGGAAAAAGTCAAAATTCTAGACATAACATACACCAAGTACATCACTTTAGCAGTAAAATAAATTGTCATTACCATTGTCTAAAAGACAAAACTTAAGTTGTTGCAAGCCTTCATAAAATCATTTGTGGAGAATATATTAGCTTCCAGGTGAAAATAATAATAGACTGTCTGATCAAACATTAATGAAAGAAGCCAGAATTATTTCATTTTTGAGGAAACACTAAACCTGTAAAGGTCTATTACAACCCAGGAGTACCAATGGCCTGTTATCCTGGGTGTAAAGTGAGCAAAATAAACACAGCAGAAAAACTTTTGACTTGTATTACCCTTCACCAATTTAGAACAAAAGTATGTACACTATATACAATATGTACAGCAATAGATATTAGTGCACTCCATGGTAAGCAAGGCAGAATAGAAGCCACTAGAGAGCAGACCGTGCTTCAACCAGCTCTAGAATGGGAATGACAAGGGCAGACAGGTGAGTGGTACCCACATCACCTCTGTGATTGCCAAAACCATCTCTCATTGGCTGGAACCTGGGTACTGATTGAACGACGGGGCCCCATCGTCAACCCTTAGTTCCCTGGTTCGCTGGTTGGGGGAGATAGCCTGTCAATGAGCATGTAAACATGCGCTGAATAAAGGTTACGTACTCTTTGCATGCCACAAGGTCATACAATGCCTAGGAAATAGGAGTCATTCTGCTTTGATACAAAAACAAAAAAATAATGTAACTCAAAATATAGTTTACCTCATGATTAATTATTATATTTAAGAGCAAGTGTTAAAGCAATATGGGTTATACAGCCCCCAGAAAATATGAGGGGGTAGAGGGTACTCATATCTAATCCAAGGAAGGTGAGGGATAGCTCCTTGGATTAAGAGCATATTACCAGCATCAAGGCATTCATTCTAAAAGGAATTTTCTAATGAATGAACTCTCATGTGACGTATTAGGGATGATCTCTGTGAAAAATCTTTTAGACATTCAGAACACTTATATGGTTTTTCTTGTGTATGAACTCTCGTGTGACGTATTAGATGTGATTTACGTGAAAAATCTTTTAGACATTCAGAACACTGATATGGTTTTTCTTGTGAATGAACTCTCATGTGTTGTATTAGGGATGATCTCTGTGAAAAATCTTTTAGACATTCAGAACACTGATATGGTTTTTCTTGTGAATGAACTCTCATGTGTTGTATTAGGGATGATCTCCGTGAAAAGCCCTTCAGACATTCAGAACACTGAAATGGTTTTTCTTGTGAATGAACTCTCATGTGTTGTATTAGGGATGATCTCTGTGAAAAATCTTTTAGACATTCAGAACACTGAAATGGTTTTTCTTGTGAATGAACTCTCGTGTGACATATTAGATGTGATTTACGTGAAAAATCTTTTAGACATTCAGAACACTGATATGGTTTTTCTTGTGAATGAACTCTCATGTGTTGTATTAGGGATGATCTCTGTGAAAAATCTTTTAGACATTCAGAACACTGAAATGGTTTTTCTTGTGAATGAACTCTCGTGTGACGTATTAGATGTGATTTATGTGAAAAATCTTTTAGACATTCAGAACACTGATATGGTTTTTCTTGTGTATGAACTCTCATGTTGTATTAGATTTGATCTCCGTGAAAAGCCCTTCAGACATTCAGAACACTGAAATGGTTTTTCTTGTGAATGAACTCTCATGTGTTCTATTAGGGATGATAAAGAATGTTTTTCTCAAGTTATGACACTTCAAATGCAACATCTGATGGAAAACTAAGAGAATTATTCAGGCAAAACTATATATATCAGCAATTTGGCCTATTTTACATCCTGTTTTAGCCTATTTCAATAATTAAGTTGATCAAGTTCTTAGCCAACATACCTACTGTTCTATCAAATATGCACAGGAAATGAATCATTCAATTATTTTAAGATTATTTGACTAATTTTACAAATTCAAAAAATTATAATTTAAAAAGAGAGATCAAAATAAGAGAGGGTAACTTAACCAAGCAGCTGGATCTGTTAGACAGAAATTATTGAAGAAACCAGAAGCAGTGCCAAAGTCTAGAGATGACCAAGAACATGAAGCCTCCATGTTGTCTCAGACTTTCTCTCTCTTCAGGTTGAAACACTGCCTCTGAAACACAAATATTACAGTAGTGATGGTTATGTTATGTTAGGTAACTGACTTTTACTACCAGGTGAGGAGAGAGTAATGATGAGAATGAACTAGAGGTGGTAGACTGTGTTATGATAATAATTGAGTATAGATTAGTGATGATGCTGGATAAACATTAATAATACAGTAGGAGAACAGATTAATGAAGATGTTGGAAAAACACTGTAAACATTCCACCACTAAAACAAGCTTGCCTCAGTTCAGTATGTTCCCTGTAGCTTCTCCTATATAATACCATAATTCTCTGAATACTAAAATATAACCATCCCAATATTTAAACCAAACCTACTGAAAACATGTAGAGGCTAGGATATATCCTATCCTTCTTTAGGGAAACAACTAAAAATCAAATATTTCTGTCACTCTGAGTTCTACTTCAGACTACTTCCAGTTTGAAACCATAAATCCTCTCCTTTTCACTAGTAACACTTCCATTCTATCAATTAACACCAAGAAACTAACAATAAACCATACTAAGAACCCAGAAATTCACCATAATGTTGCTATATTAAACCAAACACATGGTCAGTGCTTTGTCTTCTTGGGAAGAATGTGCACACTCACTGTCCTCACCAGTGACAGCTCATCAAAAAATAGACTGGGGGGCATTGCGTGAGTGCCTCACAGAACAGCATAATAAACGCAATTAAAGTAATGATTTTTAAAATCAAACTAAATTTAATAATAATAAGCATTCATATATATGTACCCATAGATGTACTGATTTTTACTGTAATATTTTTGTCAGTTTCAAAACACTTTAGTGTAAGGATGATGAAGTCATACGTTTGGCAGTGAGCATCTGTGTTGACTGCAGCTCTGCAGCTCCAATGGACGAGATGCCATTGGAATTGAATCAGTCTCTCGCCTAAGTTACACTGTGCACACTGTCCTAACTCAGTCTCTTACCACAGGAACACTGTGCACACTGTCCTGACACAGGCTCTCACCTCAGGTGCACTGTGCACACTGTCCTGACTCAGTCTCTCACCTCAGGTGCACTGTGCACACAGTCCTGGACCTGGAGTTTACCTGGAGAGAGTTCCGGGGGTCAACGCCCCCGCGGCCCGGTCTGCGACCAGGCCTCCTGGTGGATCAGAGCCTGATCAACCAGGCTGTTACTGATGGCTGCACGCAAACCAAGTACGAGCCACAGCCCGGCTGATCAGGAACTGACTTTAGGTGCTTGTCCAGTGCCAGCTTGAAGACTGCCAGGGGTCTGTTGGTAATCCCCCTTATGTATGCTGGGAGGCAGTTGAACAGTCTCGGGCCCCTGACACTTATTGTATGGTCTCTTAACGTGCTAGTGACACCCCTGCTTTTCATTGGGGGGATGTTGCATTGTCTTGCCAAGTCTTTTTGCTTTCGTAAGTGAGTGATTTTTCGTGTGCAAGTTCGGTACTAGTCCCTCTAGGATTTTCCAGGTGTATATAATCATGTATCTCTCCCGCCTGCGTTCCAGGGAATACAGGTTTAGGAACCTCAAGCGCTCCCAGTAATTGAGGTGTTTTATCTCCGTTATGCGTGCCATGAAGGTTCTCTGTACATTTTCTAGGTCAGCAATTTCACCTGCCTTGAAAGGTGCTGTTAGTGTGCAGCAATATTCCAGCCTAGATAGAACAAGTGACCTGAAGAGTGTCATCATGGGCTTGGCATCCCTAGTTTTGAAGGTTCTCATTATCCATCCTGTCATTTTTCTAGCAGATGCAATTGATACAATGTTATGGTCCTTGAAGGTGAGATCCTCTGACATGATCACTCCCAGGTCTCTGACATTGGTGTTTCGCTCTATTTTGTGGCCAGAATTTGTTTTGTACTCTGATGAAGATTTAATTTCCTCGTGTTTACCATATCTGAGTAATTGAAATTTCTCATCGCTGAACTTCATATTGTTTTCTGCAGCCCACTGAAAGATTTGGTTGATGTCCGCCTGGAGCCTTGCAGTGTCTGCAATGGAAGACACTGTCATGCAGATTCGGGTGTCATCTGCAAAGGAAGACACGGTGCTGTGGCTGACATCCTTGTCTATGTCAGACATGATGAGGATGAGGAACAAAATGGGAGTGAGTACTGTGCCTTGTGGAACAGAGCTTTTCACCGTAGCTGCCTTGGACTTTAACTGTTGACTACTACTCTCTGTGTTCTGTTAGTGAGGAAATTATAGATCCATCGACCGACTTTTCCCGTTATTCCTTTAGCACGCATTTTGTGCGCTATTACGCCATGGTCACACTTGTCGAAGACTTTTGCAAAGTCTGTATATATTACATCTGCATTCTTTTTGTCTTCTAGTGCATCTAGGACCTTGTCGTAGTGATCCAATAGTTGAGACAGACAGGAGCGACCTGTTCTAAACCCATGTTGCCCTGGGTTGTGTAACTGATGGGTTTCTAGATGGGTGGTGATCTTGCTTCTTAGGACCCTTTCAAAGATTTTTATGATATGGGATGTTAGTGCTATCGGTCTGTAGTTCTTTGCTGTTGCTTTACTGCCCCTTTGTGGAGTGGGGCTATGTCTGTTGTTTTTAGTAACTGTGGGACGACCCCGTGTCCATGCTCCCTCTCCATAGGATGGTAAAGGCTCGTGATAGGGGCTTCTTGCAGTTCTTGATGAACACGGAGTTCCATGAGTCTGGCCCTGGGGCAGAGTGCATGGGCATGTCATTTATCGCCTGTTCGAAGTCATTTGGCATCAGGATAACATCAGATAGGCTTGTGTTAACCAAACTCTGTGGCTCTCTCATAAAAAATTCATTTTGATCTTCGACTCTCAGTCTGGTTAGCGGCTTGCTAAAAACTGAGTCATATTGGGACTTGAGTAGCTGACTCATTTCCTTGCTGTCATCTGTGCAGGATCCATCTTGTTTAAGTAGGGGCCCAATACTGGACGTTGTTCTCGATTTTGATTTGGCATAGGAGAAGAAATACTTTGGGTTTCTTTCGATTTCATTCATGGCTTTTAGTTCTTCCCGCGATTCCTGACTCCTATAAGATTCCTTTTGCTTAAGTTCGATGCTTGCTATTTCTCTGACCAGTGTTTCCCTACGCATTTCAGATATATTGACCTCTTTTAGCCGCTCTGTTATTCTTTTCCATCGCCTGACTCAGTCTCTCACCTCAGGTACACTGTGCACACTGTCCTGACTCAGTCCCTCACCTAAGTTAAAATGTGCACAGTCTTAACTGAGTCTCTCACCTCAAGTGCACTGTGCACACTGTCATGACTCAGTCTCTCACCTCTGGCACACTGTGCACACTGTCCTGACTCAGTCTCTCACCTCAGGTACACTGTGCACACTGTCATGACTCAGTCTCTCACCTCAGGTACACTGTTCACACTGTCCTGACTCAGTCTCTCGCCTCAAGTATACTGTTCACACTGTCCTGACTCAGTCTCTCACCTCAGGTACACTGTGCACACTGTCATGACTCAGTCTCTCACCTCTGGTACACGGTGCACACTGTCCTGACTCAGTCTCTCACCTCTGGTACACTGTGCACACTGTCCTGACTCAGTCTCTCACCTCTGGCACACTGTGCACACTGTCCTGACTCAGTCTCTCACCTCAGGTACACTGTGCACACTGTCCTGATTTAGTCTCTCACCTCAGGTACACTGTGCACACTGTCCTGATTTAGTCTCTCACCTCAGGTACACTGTTCACACTGTCCTGACTCAGTCTCTCACCTCAAGTATACTGTTCACACTGTCCTGACTCAGTCTCTCACCTCAGGTACACTGTGCACACTGTCATGACTCAGTCTCTCACCTCTGGTACACGGTGCACACTGTCCTGACTCAGTCTCTCACCTCTGGTACACTGTGCACACTGTCCTGACTCAGTCTCTCACCTCTGGTACACTGTGCACACTGTCCTGACTCAGTCTCTCACCTCTGGTACACTGTTCACACTGTCATGACTCAGTCTCTCACCTCTGGTACACTGTGCACACTGTCCTGACTCAGTCTCTCACCTCTGGTACACTGTGCACACTGTCCTGACTCAGTCTCTCACCTCTGGTACACTGTGCACACTGTCCTGACTCAGTCTCTCACCTCTGGTACACGGTGCACACTGTCCTGACTCAGTCTCTCACCTCTGGTACACTGTGCACACTGTCCTGACTCAGTCTCTCACCTCTGGTACACTGTGCACACTGTCCTGACTCAGTCTCTCACCTCTGGTACATGGTGCACACTGTATTGACTCAGTCTCTCACCTCTGGTACATGGTGCACACTGTACTGACTCAGTCTCTCACCTCTGGTACATGGTGCACACTGTCCTGACTCAGTCTCTCACCTCTGGTACACTGTGCACACTGTCCTGACTCAGTCTCTCACCTCTGGTACATGGTGCACACTGTACTGACTCAGTCTCTCACCTCTGGAACACTGTGCACACTGTCCTGACTCAGTCTCTCACCTCTGGTACACTGTGCACACTGTCCTGACTCAGTCTCTCACCTCTGGTACACTGTGCACACTGTCCTGACTCAGTCTCTCACCTCTGGTACATGGTGCACACTGTACTGACTCAGTCTCTCACCTCTGGAACACTGTGCACACTGTCCTGACTCAGTCTCTCACCTCTGGTACATGGTGCACACTGTCCTGACTCAGTCTCTCACCTCTGGTACATGGTGCACACTGTATTGACTCAGTCTCTCACCTCTGGTACATGGTGCACACTGTACTGACTCAGTCTCTCACCTCTGGTACATGGTGCACACTGTACTGACTCAGTCTCTCACCTCTGGTACATGGTGCACACTGTACTGACTCAGTCTCTCACCTCTGGTACATGGTGCACACTGTACTGACTCAGTCTCTCACCTCTGGTACATGGTGCACACTGTCCTGACTCAGTCTCTCACCTCTGGTACACTGTGCACACTGTCCTGACTCAGTCTCTCACCTCTGGTACATGGTGCACACTGTACTGACTCAGTCTCTCAC